TACTTTAAGACAGTCAGGGACTTTAAGACAGTGAGGGTAAGACCAGTGCCACCCTTTAAACTAAATCAACATCTATGGCGACACCGTGCAAGTTTCACTATCTGAAATCTGGAATGTGTTTTCCGTAGAGTTATACGTTTTTCAAGACATTATATTTTTTTTTTGAGAGAGATGGAGACTTGGAAGGAGAAGGGGTTGTTAGGGAAGAGGAGGATAAAGGAAAATAAATAAGAGGGGAGAGGGGGAAGAAAGATCCAGGATTAGCTGGGTACCCCATTTAGTTTCTTATGTACATATTAATCCCGTTCTTTATGCAATCCATATATAATCCTTATGAATGTGATAACTTCAACTTCATTAGCTCCTAATTTTGTGATATGTATTGTGTCTTTATCATGTTATTAAATCTTAGCTAACTGTCACTTTATGCGTAAAATATAAGTTTTTGATTTAGATTGCTATAGAAGTGTTTAGTCTAACCAGCATTGATTTATATATCTATAACTTATTACCAATTAAGTTTCTGATAATGCCAATGTCTATTTGTTCTGCTGTTATTGTGACTGGCTTATATAATTAGGGTACTGTACCTAATTTTTATGTACATTTCCCCAATTATAAGTGTACTACATTTATTATTAAAGTGTTTGATTAATTGGCGTGAACAGGAGTCAGAGGTGAAGGGTGTATTGATTTAGACCAGGGACCAGATTCACAAAACAGTTACGCAAGTACTTACGAACGTGTACATCTTTCCTCAATCTTTGACGGCTTTGGTTACATTTATTAAACAGTTTACAAGTATGAAAACTTCCCAATCAAGTGTTGTTATTGTTATAAACAGCCTCCTGCTGTTCCGGAGCTCATTAACTGTTTAATAATTGAAAGCAAAGCCGCCAAAGATTGAGAAAAGATGCACAGGTTCGTAAGTGTTTGCGTAACTGCTTCATGAATCTGGCCCCAGGATAATTCATCAATATTAATTAAGAACATCATGTGATTGATACCTAACCTGAGTGAAGTATTGTATAATATGTTATTTATAAAGTTTGTGTGTGTGAGTGTGGGTTTATTTGTTGCACAGAGCGAGGAAGAGCTGGGTGTCCTGGTGAGTAAGGTGGAGGGAGCAGTGAGCCACGGCGGGCAGCAGCACGTGGCCGCCATCAGGGCTAACATCACCAACGACTTACGACGCCACCTCAAGAAAATGCGTGATTCCCTACAGGAACTGAGCAGGTGGTGTAGCCTTCTTGTCTTAACTCTTAAATATACACTATTTACATAAATATGAGCTGTAAACGTGTATGTCTGTATGTGTGGAGGAGGGGGGGGGGAGAGATCACTTTATGCGATGGGGTTAATTTTTTTTAATAAGGATATCGGGAACACGATAACATGAGAATAAGGGGGAAAAACACAGCTCCAGGCAAAAGAACAGCTGAAGCTGGCTCTGTACGTGGCTTTAGAAACGGGTATGATAGAGCTCACCTACACTAGTTAGTTTAGTTCATTTATTATGCACCCCATACCCATCTTGTGGGCGGTAGTGGAAAGTGTTACAGAGGCACATAATGGGCTCAGGGACTGAACCCCACAATTCATTTAGCTAAGCAAGTTACAATCTTGATGAGCTAGTTACAAAATTCAATATAAGTCATCACATCAACAATGGGTTCGAGATCGACCTCAAGTACAGTTTCTAAATTAAGCAACTGACATGTGGAGAGCTAGTGTCACAATTGATGTTTGTCCTGCACACCGCCCCCCATCCAGTGGGAAGCAGTGGATAGGTTACAATTACTTGGTTACTACCTACAGTTAGCTACAGATATACCCATCCCGTGGGCGGCAGTGCACCCCATACCCATCCCGTGGGCGGCACTGCACCCCATACCCATCCTGTGGGCGGCAGTGCACCCCATACCCATCCTGTGGGCGGCAGGGCACCCCCCATACCCATCCCGTGGGCGGCAGTGCACCCCATACCCATCCTGTGGGCGGCAGTGCACCCCATACCCATCCTGTGGGCGGCAGTACACCCCATACCCATCCTGTGGGCGGCAGTGCACCCCATACCCATCCTGTGGGCGGCAGTGCACCCGATACCCATCCTGTGGGCGGCAGTACACCCCATACCCATCCTGTGGGCGGCAGTGCACCCCATACCCATCGTGTGGGCGGCAGTGCACCCCATACCCATCCTGTGGGCGGCAGTGCACCCCATACCCATCCTGTGGGCGGCAGTGCACCCCATACCCATCCCGTGGGCGGCAGTGCACCCCATACCCATCCTGTGGGCGGCAGTGCACCCCATACCCATCCTGTGGGCCGCAATGCTCCCCATACCCATCACGTGGGCAGCAGTGCACCCCATCCCGTGGGCAGCAGTGCACCCCATCCCGTGGGCAGCAGTGCACCCCATCCCGTGGGCAGCAGTGCACCCCATCCCGTGGGCAGCAGTGCACCCCATCCCGTGGGCAGCAGTGCACCCCATCCCGTGGGCAGCAGTGCACCCCATCCCGTGGGCAGCAGTGCACCCCATCCCGTGGGCAGCAGTGCACCCCATCCCGTGGGCAGCAGTGCACCCCATCCCGTGGGCAGCAGTGCACCCCATCCCGTGGGCAGCAGTGCACCCCATCCCGTGGGCAGCAGTGCACCCCATCCCGTGGGCAGCAGTGCACCCCATCCCGTGGGCAGCAGTGCACCCCATCCCGTGGGCAGCAGTGCACCCCACACCCATCCCGTGGGCAGCAGTGCACCCCATACCCATCCCGTGGGCAGCAGTGCACCCCATACCCATCCCGTGGGCAGCAGTGACATCTCTTACAGTGACAGGTTAGAACCATATAATGGTCTCGGAAACTGAACTCCTAAGTTCATTTAGTTAAGGAAGTAACAATCTTGTGGAGCTAGATACACATTGTGACACTAGCTCTCCACATACGTCAGTTGCTTAATTTAGAAACTGTACTTGTGGTCCATCTCGAACCCATTTATGATGTGACGACTTATACTGAATTTTGTAACTAACTCATCAAGATTGTAACTTGCTTAGCTAAATGAATTGTGGGGTTCAGTCCCTGAACCCATTATGTGCCTGTGTAACTCTTTCCACTACCACCCACAAGATGGGTCTGGGATGCATAATAAATGAACTAAACTAACAGTTAATGTGTATTAATATCTATAAAAGATATGTCAGTGATCTTTTATAGCACAAGTGGTTCAAGAAGTGGCTCACAATAGTCTATGTACAGAGTAATGTACATGCAGTGAGTGAGGTGCTGGTTTAATGGTTTATGGGTGTGCAGGGTAGAGCCGGCAGTGAAGAATCTGGAGGAGCACTTCACCCAAGTGGCTGAGACCATCACCTCTAGTGTGGTGGACCTTAAGACCAATGTGGAGGACCTTAAGACCAGTGTGATGGATCTTAAGACCAATGTAGCGGACCTTAAGACTGGTGTGGCAGAGCTGAAGCACATTCAGCAGGAGCACCCCAACCCGCCTGGTATGGACCTCGACCTCGCATACCAACCTAGTTTTGACCAGGTACTTCCACTCGCGCTTTGTAACGTAACATTGCTATTATTGGGCGTTTCTCTCACATTAGAGACGTAACATCTTGCATTACTGTTCATTATACAACTAGAATTATTATACATGCTTTAAGAGCGAATGAAAATGTGCGGTGTTTGCTGTATCTTATATAACGAAGGAACTCTCACGCTGTCCAGTATGCACTCGATGCCGGCACTGTTATATAAATGGCTAATGCGATCTGGATATGTAATAGTGTTAGATATTGTTTGGAATTATAAATACATTCAGAACTTCCATAGTGTATTAATCTTGGTCTTTATTACCAACCTCTGTTTGTGCACACTTGTAATTAAGTTATTCTATTTTCAGGCTGAAATTCTATACATGTGCAAACGTTTATTGATCTGTTTATTTCTAAAACAGTGAAGAACCGTCCTTCAATAGTTGTATACAGTATTATTATTTAGGACCATAGCAGCCGTCATGGGGGACTGCCTTTGCGGTATAATTGGCCTTCAGCCAGGAATAAATGTGTGAGAGAACGTGGAGAGAATAAACCCCGTCAGGGATGAGGCCGGAGGAGAGCACACAGGCTCAATAATGTACCTGTCCCGACCAGTCAAAATAACTACAAGCAGGGGCCGTGTGATGCCTCGCTCACCTACAGTTTTTATTATTATTGGCGATATAATTACTCAAAGCTGTTTTCATTGAGAAAGAGAGAGAGAGAGAGAGAGAGAGAGAGAGAGAGAGAGAGAGAGAGAGAGAGAGAGAGAGAGAGAGAGAGAGAGAGAGAGAGAGAGAGAGAGAGAGAGAGAGACAGACAGACAGACAGACAGACAGACAGACAGACAGACAGACAGACAGACAGACAGACAGACAGACAGACAGACAGACAGACAGACAGACAGACAGCGTGTTGATGTTACATAATGAATCCACATGTTAATGTGTGGCCTGGCACCGGCAGGTGGAGACATCCATCAAGGAGCTGTCCGGGAAGCTGTCCACCTTCACTAAGGAAGTCACTGCACACTTCTCCCAGGTCTGACTCATCCTTCATTATATACTAAGTCGATAATCATTATTTCAATTTTGTGCCTCTTCAATTATATAAATAAATCAGTTGGTTTATATTTCGAGTAATTTATAATTCAATGGAATGTGTATGATAGTTGGTAACGTGTAAATAGGTTCTCACTTGTGATAAACTGATAAAGCATTCAAGTCCTCTCTCTCAGTCCCAGATAGGCCTATCTTGGCCATCCACCGTCTTATTTGCCCTATGTATCATGTACTGAAAATTGTTAAATTTTATAATCCCATGAGTGGTAGTTTATTGTGCACCCCATACTCATCCTGTGAGTGGTAGTTTGTGAACCTCATACTCATCCTGTGAGTGGTAGTTTATTGTGAACCTCATACTCATCCTGTGAATGGTAGTTTATTGTGCACACCATACTCATCCTGTGAGTGGTAGTTTATTGTGCACCCCATACTCATCCTGTGAGTGGTAGTTTATTGTGCACCCTATACTCATCCTGTGAGTGGTAGTTTATTGTGCACCCCATACTCATCCTGTGAGTAGTAGTTTATTGTGCACCCCATACTCATCCTGTGAGTGGTAGTTTATTGTGCACCTTATAATCATCCTTTGAGCAGCTTATTGTGCACCTCATACTCATCCTGTGAGTGGTAGTTTATTGTGCATACCATACTCATCCTATGAGCAGCAGTACATTAAGAGGTTACAAAGGGCACAAAGGTATAAATCATATCAGTGTTGACATTGTAACACTCTGTGTGTAGTAAATGATGACACGTGATGGTGTTGCAGGCAATACAAGAGATGGGTCAAGTGGGCGGTGTGGCGTCGTCGACCATCAGCACCAACACTAGGCTCATCAGTCCTGTTCACGGGGTCTTCTCCAACCATCGACCCATCTTTCCTCTGGCCGAGGTCTGTCTTTCATTTGTCTACACAAAGACTTACTTGAGTTACAAATAAATTACTTGTACTGTATTGGGAAATATATTTTCAGAAGCATGGATTTCAGCCTACTTATTGTAAGGTTTTTATTGGGTAGCCTCTGACTTCCTCTCCCTCACTAGCATGTCTGTTATTTCACACCGAGTTTCATACACGTGCTAGTTTCCTCTTAGTCGACTCGCATCCACATGACACATTTATTTAATATTTAAAAATTTAGATTGTATTGGCATAGCCTTATCTTAAGATGGTATTGATTGCAGTGTGGTCACAGACGTCAAGTATCGCCGGTGGCGCACGTGTCTCCAGTACCCCAAGTCTCGCCACAGGTGTCCATGGCTCCACCTGCCTCCCATCTAACTCCCATTCACCAGCCTCACTCACACACAACATTCAAACCCACACCACATCTTCCACCCCCAGCAAACCCCACGCCAACACCAATCTCTAATCCTGGTATTTCACCATCCCGAAACCCCAGTGAAACACTACACTATCGACCAGGTTTTGAACAACCCTCAGAATTATGTGCAGCACCACAAACAAACCTAGGTGTTGCACAGCCATCACATCTTAGGTTAAAAGCACACTGCAGACCAGATGTTGCTGTACCAGCCAAAGCTGTGCCAAGTGTTACCCCACCACAGGACTCTGTAGCAACATCCCATTCCACAACAGCCCCAGCGAGCAGTGTTGTCTTCAAAGAGGCAACCCAAGGTCGACCATCAGTGAATACACATAAGGATCGTATTCTTCATCCCAAGAATAATAATATAGCAACAATTTGCCCCGAGAAGGTACGTCCCATTATAGTGTGCCGATATATTCTGATTAATATGTGCCTATCATTATTATACTTTTCTCAGACGTAGGTCAAAATTATAGGGAAGCGTGTTTAGTAGGACGGGAGCATTGTAGTAAGAGTAAACTTGTCATCAGGTGGTGTCACCCGAGGAGGATGATGATGCAATGGACGACGAGTCACAGAGTCTGGGTTGCATGTCATCCTGGCCCCAGCAAGCTGGTACGCAACGATTCACACCTCCAAAAATATATACTCTCATTGAACTCACTTCAGATTCAGACCAGGTATGTTGTCTAACTCTCATCTTAAGCGACAACACTAGAAATGTATTCAGTTTTCATTGCCTCCTTGAAAGTTAGCTATAAGATGTTCACTGATTGTAACTGATTTTTAAGGTTGACTAAATTTAACATGCAAGTCACTAGAAATTTCCACTGTATACATGAGGTACTTTGTTAGCTTCATGACGTGTGTTACTGTGCGAGTGGCTTAATTTATCAACACAAAATAGAACTTAAAACAATGTATATAAATTTGAGAAGTGTAGGTTTAGGAAAGAGCTGTGGAAATACTGGTTTAGAAACAGGGTTGTTGATATATAAAAAACAATAATCGGATAACATAATAAACACGGGACCGCTGGATTGTGAGTTTGGGTGAATATAAATAGGAGCTGCCTCAAGTGAGCCAATAGGCCTTCTACAGTTTCCTTTATGTTCTGTGCACCACTTAATGTTAGGCTGGCATTATCCTGTACTGTACTTGTTTTGTGTGGCTGATCGGTGTTTGTATTATATTATGTAGCGAGTTAATGGAAGAACAGAACCTGTGTTGCAGTGTAAATGTTTCTCTCCACTTCAGAGGTCATGTGGTAAGCATGTAAGATTTCAACTTGCAGGCATTACATTGCATACTTACAGACCAACCCGTCCTCTTAAAAATAACGTCACTTTTGGCTGGTATGCGCGGCACTATGGCCAAATTTGGACGTATTTTTTCATACCATTTTGAAACTTTATGAGAATTTCCTGCCCACCTAACCTATCAGAGGACCCTTAACTTACTGTTGTTGAAACAAAAATCACAATTTTATTTCCATTTTTTTTTTAATTTTCAAATTACGTCCAAATTCGGCCATACGGGCAAACGGCCAAAAGCGACGTTCTTTTTAAGAGGACAGGTTGTACAGACAGCATGTGCACTATCTACACTACATCAATTAGTGACAGTCCTCTCTAAATTTGTGATTTGTCCATTCATTTATATAGTGGTGTGGTGTATGAGTAATTTTGGTGTGACCAGCAGCAGTGGTGGTAAAGACTCCAAGAAGTAGTGTCATAGGAGGGATAGTAAGCAAGGTCTTTGGTTTCAGGAAGCCTTGGTGTTGGACTGTGATAGTAGCAGCAACTCTGATGGCTCTCCCATGGTACTCACCAGAGTCATTGATAGACTTCCTGCCCCACCCACCAAGACCGCTGGAATTGCTATTCCACCCACCAAGACTGCTGGACTCCCTGCCCTACCCAACAACACAGGTAAGGCTAACTTCCCATAACTGGCTACTTCTTACACATCCCCCAGATGATACTAGAAAGTGACGTGGTGGAGGCAGACCCCATACAATCTTTCAAATGTAGGTACTATAAGAGCTCAGTTGGGGAACCTGTTCATCAGTCTATTGGCAGTTGAGAGGTGGGACCAAAGGGCCAAATCTCAACCCCTACAAGCACAACTAGGAGAGTACTGATTTCATTGTACGACTTTTGTAGAGGGATTTGGCCCAGTATCAGCTGCCAATGGCTCAATTTATACAGGTAGTATGGTTTTCAGCATTAAGAAAAACAAGATATTCTTTGAAAAACATTTTGCAGTATCTATAGCTGGCACATTCAGATAAAATATTGAAAAAATGTGTACAGTTATAAGTAATTATGTACTTGTCAAAAGAAGGTAGGAAGCCAAGAATATTATTCAACACCATCAATGTTGCAGGATGTTTAAAAAGTCCTAAATAACACTCAGATGTGAATACTAGAGCAAAAATACATAAGATAAGCAACATCAAAGGTATCCGGGGACACTAAAGAGTGAGGGACAAGTGACTCAAAAGGACTTTAGGAAAGTAAGCCTTATAACCATCCTGAAAATCAGGATATTCCACGATGAAGTACAGACAATGCAGTTCAGACAGTAGGTAGCAGGGACATTATTTCAATTAAGGGTCTACGAGTTAAGCCCCTGTGTGGTTCAATGCCTCAGTCTTGTGCCTGGTGTGAATCCAGTTTTTCCAGATAAGTGTTGGCCATCCTTTGAACTCTGTCCTGTGGGGATCTTTTTGTTTGTTGTGGATTAATGTGTGTTTATATGTCACACTTGTGTGAACCTTCATTCACTGTTTGCCTTAAGCTGCATGAGTTTAGACTTCGCTTTCCTAAGCATTCACTAGTGTTGCTCTTGCCTGGCCATGGTTCCTTCCCTTGGGGGTTTGAGTATGTCCCTGAAACATCCTTCTATGGAAGGTGCCTTCCCCCTGGTTAGAGCAATGGTCTTTGCTCATCTGAGGCTGTGGGATAGGGGCAGTGAAGGTTTGTTTTGGTTACACGGGGGTTTGCAAGCTTGATATGCCGATGCCTCTTATGCCTTCCTCGACTGCTTTATTCTTATGCTGCATTTCGTGTGTGCTACTGACCATCTCCATATGCCTGGTGTACTGGTTTTGTTTTCACCAGGGGTTACCGGTGTCTGTTCCTCTCCACCCCTGGCGAGTCATTTTGCTTTTGTTTCTGCAGTGAAATAACCACAAGGAGCCATCAAGGGAGGCCTCCCAGTAATCCAGCTTTGAATGTAATGAAATACCTCTTTGTGGTAGATCCCTTGTTGGCTTCCTGATCCTTCCCTCTCAAGTGCATCAGCTGTTTTTCAGCATGCATGACTGACAGGGTTGACCCCAGTCAGACTCCGAGTGCACATGGCTTCCACCTGGTCGTGGAGGCATTTACCTAGCATGGGAATGACCTAACTACCATGTTACTGGCTTTCAGAGTCGTTCAAATTTTCCTTGCTGTTCTGTTTTGTTTTGCTTTACCTTTCTGGTGGCTTATTCTTTTAGTTTGGGGTGATCTAGTAACCCATGCTTCTTGTGTCTTTGGCTGGACGAGGTCTTGGCCTCTGGTCTCCAGTAGGATTTTTATTACAAGGGCCTGGTGTGATGTGTGTAAGGTTGTCCAGGCAGTAGCTACAGGTATCCACTGAGGGACCCTCCAGAATGAGGCATTTCATTACATTCAGTGCTAGATTTTTTAAAATTCTAGCATTATTATTTATAATAATTACAGTATTATTTTTATTATGTAGTGATATAATATACTGTACATGTTTATGATTTACCCATTACTGTACAGTATATGCCTTTACTGTATTTCCTTTTTACTACACACAAAATGGGCATATGGGGATGCATTAATAAATGAACTAAACTAATTAAAAGATACATAAATCTGAAGAGTGGCCTTTTAATTAACAGATGATTGGGTGGAGAGCACTCTAGGACTTAAGAACAGTACCAAAACCAACATGAAATTGGAGAAATGTGGAAACCACTTTTCTGCCTCTGGCCCTATCCATCAAATAGGTATGGCAATTATGAAGAAGGAAATAGTTACTCCAAATGTAAGGAAGACACCCTCTATGGTGGTGGGTGGTCCAGACAGAAGCAACACTGTGAGGAGCTGTGAAGTAGTGAATGGTAGTGGAGCTGCTGCTGGCACAGTGTGGGGAAGCAGGCCAGGTGGTGGGGCAAGTGAGGTAATGCAACTGGAACACATTTCTACATCACCCTGCCCAGTAACAAATGGTCAAGATTTGTATCCTCACTCATTTGCTGTCCCTTTCAGGCCACCATCTGGAGGAAAGAGGAAGTTGCCAGATTCTTGGCCTTGGGACTGTTGTAACGTAGGAATGCAGGACAGTGTGTGTAATAGAAAGAATAAGGGATTAAATGTTGAGCGTGCTCCAAGAAGCAGATTCACTAATGAGATTCGTACTCGTCGCTGTCTCACACCTATCAAACATGGAATTAAACTCAAATTTTTCAAAAGTAAGAAGAATACCTGCAGCGATACATAACATTTTTGCACGCACTCTCTGGCTTTGCTATTGTTTGGTATCGCTGCACTACTGATACATGTAAGGACCCTACCATGGTAACTGGTGTATAATTACCTTACCTTGACAAATTAACATACAGTTATTGATAAATATGACGAAGACATGTAGGTATTTTGCACCATAAATTTATTCAGTATTCAAAGTTTATTTTTATCATTCTGTACAAATATTGTTTATAGCAATGGCTGACAATATGTGAAATTGAATTATGGAGGTACCAATTACTTATACTACTGTCCTCATAGCTCCTGCCTTAATTCTGCTTTTTCATGCTAGAATTAAAATGACATTTAATTTGAAACAATTTTAAAAGGCAAGCTCTGCATTTATTTGCCAGAACTATAATTTTTTGTGCCAAAGCAAAACTTCTTTATAGGATGCGAGGTGAAGGGCCTGCCATTTGAGAAACAGAATTTTTCATCTTTCTTTTTGTGTGTTACAATGTAAGCCAATTATATTAAGGATTTCCCTTAGAAAAAAATATTTGTTTCAATAGATTTATTAGTGCTAGTAGATGGCTTCATAGTTGAAATGTGTGTGCAGATGGGTTGGATGTGCAGATGGGATGGATGTGCAGATATTAGCTTTGTTTAGAAAGGTTCAGTGTATGCATTGATGGATTCTGTGTGTGTATGAGATGCACAGCTTTATACATGTGTATAGCTAAGCTTCTTGCTACAAGTTTACATCAATGCATGTGACCAGAGAAAAACTAGTTTTTACAAGTCACACTTTTTTGTTTGTTATACCAGATATGTAGTTTGTCATACTGTAGTTTTGTAAATTTAAACACAGAGGGGAGTCATAACTTTTTAAATATTGGGTATCTTCTCACATGCTGCTTGCACTGAGAGGCAGTTGCCTATTAGCTTGTGTAACTTGTATGGAGTGTAATTGTCTAGCTTACATGCTATATAAATGGTAATTCAATCATATATTTGTAATAATTTTGTATAACAAAGCCTCTTCTACAGCAGACTTCAATTTCCTTTTCGTTTTGTTCAACTGATTTTTATGGTTCTATCCTGGCGAGATTTAACGATACTGTACAGTACAGTACTTGCAAAAAACCAGCATTGAATGCTGGTTTTTTGTAATGCTGTAATGAAATGCCATTTTCTGGGCGAGCCCTAGAGGTTCCCTGGAGTTATAGAACTGATATGTGCTATATTAGTATGGGTCTTCAGTCAATGAAGTTCTGCCTACCGGGGACCAGAGCTGGAACCTGGTCCCCCCCTCCATCAGAGGCGCACAGGGAGCAATGACCTAAGGAGACCCCCCCATGTATTTGGGGGTATTCCTTGTCTGCCATCAACTGGGGTTAGGCACTCAAAAAGGCAGACATCTCAAAAACAATCCCCACATGGTAGGAAATTGCAAAAAACCCAAGACCGAACAGAGAAACAGAACTCCCCAAAGGAAAACAAGCCACTGTCATTCACTGCTGCCACACTGCTTGTCTGTGCAGCCCTCCCCTCCTTAGGAGGGAAAGGGGCAAGCTCCCAAACCTACACGCCGGCTATTCTCACCTCTTTAAGTACCCCTACGGAAGAAAACTCTAGAACCCAAGAGTAGTATTCACAGGGGGCTGCCTTCCCTAAGCGCCAAGTACACTATGTTACTCCTGACCCCCAAATACAAGGGGGTCTCCTTAGATCATTGCTCCCTGTGCCTCTCTGAGGGGGCCAGGTTCCAGCTCTGGTCCCCGGTAGGCAGAACTCCATTGACTGAAGCCCCAGACTAATATAGCGCATATCAGTCCTATAACTCCAGGGAGTCGAAGGGGGCTTCCCACAGAAAGCTGGGTTTGAGTTGGACATTTAATTTATTTGAAAGAAAAACAATGGATCTGCAGACAAGGGAAATATTGCAAAAGGTGGATATGGAAAGCTAGACTTCTGAAATTATTTATTGAACTCGGTACATACAGTATAAAGAAATAGAGTAAAGTGTAATTAACAGTGGCAAAGGAAGCTAGAAGATAATAGAGGGGGTGACAGGCAGATAACCGACGTTGATAATAAATTTCCCAAAGGACAGACAAACAAGAGCAATGCTCGCTGGTAATGTATCAGACTGTAGAAATGCCCCTAGTTGAGTGCCACAATGTTATTTCTTTCACCAGCAATGTTCAGTCTACATAAACAATATACCAGAGGAGATTTTGAGTTACAGTACGTAAATGTGTTTGCAGATGATGCCAAGTTACACGGGAAAGTAAAATACTAAGATGACTGCCACAGCTTTCAAAATGACCTAGATAAAAATGAATGGAGCAATACATAGCAGCAGAATTCAATGTAAATAAAAGCCACATGTAGAATGTGGGAAAAACAGGCCACACTTCAACCTATAAATTATGAGAAGATATTTACAGTCTCCGTGGTGTAGTGGTAAGACACTCGCCTGGCGTTCCGCGAGCGCTATGTCATGGGTTCGTATCCTGGCCGGGGAGGATTTACTGGGCGCAATTCCTTAACTGTAGCCTCTGTTTAACGCAACAGTAAAATGTGTACTTGGTTGTAACAACGATTCTTCGCGGCGGGGATCGTATTCCAGGGACCTGCCCGAAACGCTACGCGTACTAGTGGCTGTACAAGAATGTAACAACTCTTGTATATATCTCAAAAAAAAAAAAAAAAAAAAAAAAAAAAAAAAATAAAGAATTCTCAGAGATTTAGGGATGGTTCTGTAACCAGAAGATCACAAGAGGTGTTGTAAGAGGAGCCTACACTAAACTACACTATAGTAAATTTCAGAATCACATGTAAATACATGGATGAAGAAAAGAAATACTAAAGAAACTGTTCATGACATTTGAGAGACCGAAATTGGAATATGCAGCAGATGTATGACGTATCCATATCATGAGGAACATCAATGAACTAGAAAAGGTGCAGACATGCTATTAAATGGCATCTGGAACTAAAAATTGAGAGCTGTGTGGAGATGCTACAGGTATTAAAGATGCCAAAGCTAAACAATACGAAAAAAATTGAACAAAGTTGTAGACATTTGAATAATTTAAGTGAAAAGATTTTTTTTTGAGATAAAGATGAAATGAAACCATCAGTAGTTTCAAACCATCAATGACAAATATTATAGGGATATATTTCTGGATAGAACATTTGACTCTCACGCGGACAGCCAAGGTCTATAAGGTGTGACAGTCAAGAGTAATTTTAGCAATACATAAGGAGCTTAGTATGCATACCACATGGAGCAAGAGGCAGGTGAATGTATCTACTTGGATAATACTAATGTTATCATGTCACTTATACATCATTGCCTCCAACGAAAAAATGGAGTGGGAGACCAACAGTACCAATACTTTCATTTACAAATATCTGGATATTTATTGCAACCTTTACCGGATGTCACCGGTGTGAACCTGTGAAGTAGGCGGTCAGCATATTCTCAAGACTGGTCATCAACAAAACCCACGAATCCCAGACTGTCGGGATGAGACAGTAATATCCGAGCCAATGGATTGAAGCAGGTGGATATGCCACTGGAGATCAACAACAATTGCATGCTCATCAGTACAGTATAATTAAGATAGAAATAATTGGTCCATACAGGTAGCCTAAACACATGGAATATGGAAGTATGCAAGCAAGGGGAGAGAGAGAGCGCTAAGGGTGATTACGACACTGCAACCTCCCCACACCCCCAATAACAAGGAGGTTATACACTGCCATTGTGACAGTCAAGAAAGTTATAAGGAACAAAGAACTGATCAAACACTACACTTGGTGATGCAGTAATAGCCACTACCACACAAGTGGCAGGGAAAAGGAGAGGAATCAGGGATCAGTGCCAAAGCTGGGCCCGACACATCAGCAGTAGTTGAACCAGCAGAATTCCTCTTGGGCAAAAGGTAAACAAAATCTTCTAAAAGGGGCTATACTTGTGCTCCTGATTACCTGTCACATGAGTGTGGATGTGAAGACGTGTGTGAAATTTCCATACAAAAGTGAGATGATGCAATTGAATCCTGGAGCCATGGGATACCTCTTACCTCTTGAGGGCAAGCATGAGCCAATGCAACAGGGTACCTCATCCCTAGTTGAGCTCTCATAGTTGAGCTCCCATGTTTCAGCAGGGAAGAAACTGATTAGAATAATTGGCAATGGTGCTGCAGACATCCCCTTTTCCCTTGTGTCAGCATGAACACCTAGATATATTCAGAGAATGGGCCCCCCTCACAAGCAACTCTGGCATGTGGTCCAATAATTCATTCAGGAATTTTGTGGTAGATATTTTTTGCTTGTATACCTCTACAGCAAGCAAGAAAAGGTAGCAGAAACCTCCCAACCTGAGAAGAGCACAAAAGTGCCCCCTTGCCACATCAAGGAAACGCCCATAAGGGGGAATGGCTGAAGAAGATACAATATATACAGCTTTGGTCCTGCAAATGTCTTTTAAAAGAACTTGGCAATAGAATCTGCTGGGCTCACAGCATTTGAGTCCCACCACAATGACGAGGTAGCCGACATGGGAGGAATTAACTCTGGAGTGATGAGATCATGTAGAGTAAATAGCTTCATGGTATGATCCTGGTGTATGCTTTATTGAGGGGGTAACAATAATGTTTTTTTTTTCCATGTGTTACTACAGAAGAGGCAAATTAAGAGAGCAAACAATATCTTTGGGTGCAATCTTGGTGCAGTCTGTAGACAGCTCTAGTTTATATATTTTTGTTTTTACCTGAAGTGTGATTCTCTCTATGCTAGAAAGAAAAAGTCCATTGCCCGAGTGAGATTAGTGACATGTGCTTTGATTAAAGCATTAATGTACTTGTTCTATATTTTATTTTAAATTGCATTGTCAATACTGAATTTTTCTTAAATATAATTACTGTCTGATATACCCAAACAAAGAAATACTAATGAGAGAACTGATTTGAGATTCATG